TTTGTGACCTCCTGTTTTTCTTGTGTGTGTATGAATGCAATTGTCATTTTCAGAAGAAATTCTGAGAATGATTTTGTTATTGAATTGTTGACAACTCAGTGTCACACAAATGTAGGAGTGCAGCAGGCAGCACAAGGCACAGGGAAGACAGACAGCAGATGTGGTTCCATTAAAGCATATTCAGTTAGAACTGGAAAAATCCACTTAATTATCCTCTGGATTGCAAAAAAAGTGTTTTGCAAATAATTATTGACTTGTCATTAGAAATTTCCTTTGAATTCAGTAATTGAGCAAGTTCCTTTGTGTTGAATAATGATTTCTGTCTCCTACTGCCTCTCTGGCTTTAATCTTTTGGGTGTAGCTTGCAAGCAAACTGCAGAATATGTTTCTGTGTTTAAAGTATGAATTCTGGGTGACACTTAACCCTAACAACTGCTTTCACACTTCCTTAATCCCTCCAAATTTCTTGCAGATGTGTTTGTTGACATTCCAGAAGCCAACATATGCATTTCCACCAAGGTGATGGAAAATATAGTACACCCTAAATCACATTTTATTTCCCCTGACATCTCAAAAAGTTAGCATAAAATTTGCTTGGCAGCCAGATGGAAACAGCTAAAGTGAGAAAAAAGACAGTGGTGTTACAGTGACTATCATCAATATGGCAAAGTGCTCTTTTATAGTGATGAAAATATGATGGAAGCTGAAAATTCAGAATTAATACATGAATCTGCAGTATCCTTTGGCTTTCAGAAGCTTTAAAGTAAGTTTCAACTTATTATTTAGCTGTAGGTTCTGCAACTTTCATTTTGTATCACTCTCACTGCTGCCATAGCTTTTGGCCATACACCTCCTGTTTAGCATCAAGCTGCAGACAGACACAGCCAGAGACAAGCCTGTGAACATAGATTAGCAGCTCAAGAGTTGGTAAAGACCAAAAACAGAGCTAGAAAGTGAACATACTTACAGTACATGTGGCCAGAAACACAACTGCAAATGATTCATAATGTTGCTCAACTTACCCCAAAGTCACACATGCACAAAACAAATAAACAAAAACAAAAACCAAACCAAACAAGCAAACAAAAAAATCACATATGGCTGGTTTAACTGCCAAATAAGTGCACAGTTTGATTATTCTGAAATTCTGTAGCTAATCTCCCTGGACATGGACGTAAGAGAGAGAAGTAGATGGCAGACCGCAACGAAGGATTGTTCAAATGGTGGATAAAGAACCTCGATCAACTTCCAAACTAATTCAAGCTCACCTGCAGGCACAGGGTGCAACAGTGTTAGCTCGCACTATCTGTCGCCATCTGAATGACATGAGACGCTATGGTAGGAGACCCGGGGGGCCCACTGCTGACACAGAAACATAAACATAAAAAAAGCCAGGAGGTTGGAGGTTGCCAAAACCGACCTGGGGGAGCCACAGTTCTTCTGGGAGACTACCAACAAATTATGGTGCGCAATGTAGGGCTCACAGAGATGCCTCTGCCATAAAGTTGGGTCTCCGTCAGAGGTCATGGGTCTGACAGCAGGACAATGACCCAAAGCAGACTTCAAACAGCACCAGAAATGGTTTCAATGCGCTTCCCTGCATATCCCAGTGCGCTAGAGAGTTCTGAAGTGGGCAGCAATGAGTCCAGATCTAAATTCCACAGAGCATACTGTATGTGGAGAGATCTCAAAACAGCAGCTGGGAGAAGGACCCCTTTGAACCTGAGAGATCTGGAGCAGTTGGCAAAAGAAGAGTGGTCCAAAATTCAAGTAGAGAGGTGGAAGAAACTCACTGATGGTTACAGGCAGTTTGATTGATTTCAGTTATTTTGTCCAGAGGGTGTGCTACTAAATATTAAGTTTTGGGTGTCAATAATTCTGCCCAGTCCGTTTTTGGAGTTCTGTGTGGAATGGATCAGATTTGGCTTTTTCCTCTCTGCTTTTCTGTGTCGTTCCAGTGCAAACAAAAGAAATAAACATGCGAATACCAAAGGATTTGTGATTGCAACAGTTTTCTGGGAGAAGTGGTGTGTTATCTGACAGAAATGCAGGGGTGCCAATAATTTTGGCCATGACTGTAGTTGTCAGAGTCCATCCAAAGTGTTAACAGGAAACAAATAATATCTGCCTCCCTTGTCACATTGAACATATGCATCTCTGTGAGCATGAAAAGAGAAGCTATATCAACAGAGCAACACGGTCATATATCAACAGAGGTGACAGGGTATTGGGAATGGAGAGACTTAACATTTCTCTTGTTCTCATTGTGACATTATTTTTGTATACTATACATTACACAACATGGGATGAATTAATATATGATTTAAAAAGGGATTGATTAAAACACTTGAGGGTTGTGACCCCATTAAAGGCTCACAAGATGCATGCAAGTATAAAGGGGTTGTGAGATGATTAACAGAACAGGGTTGCAAAGTTGATAGCTGTAATTTAATGGCATGACTGTCTACACAACCAAGGGTCTTTCCAATCATCAAATAATAACCATATAAGACTATTTCACAGTTTCCTAGTTTATAAAGAGTTTTGCATCAGTGAATAACAAGTATTTCATGTGAGCTGCTGCTGCTTAAGAATCATTGTGGTGGTTATCATTACAGTATGTTTCAAATGAAGTCATTGTAGAGCTGGATCAGTGTGGAATAATTTCAATCAATACAAGAGCTCTTGTGACTTTGTTAGAGTATTTACAAATAAATTATGCACTTGCTGTGAAAAGTGGCTTAAAACAATTTGCACCCCAAAAAATCTAATTCAAAGTTTAAAGCAAAAGAAGTCCTTGATTTATATAGAAAAAAACATAATGGTATTTTGAAATATGTTTGAGTCATATCATCTATTCAGTTTTATAAGAAACACAAGTTCCTGCCATCAAAAACACTAAGAACTGACTTCTGCAGAAATCCCTGTAAAAACAAAATAACACTGCCCATTTCTGTCCCAAGAGTGAGCTTGTTATTTTGCTGAAAATGAGTTATACCGAATATCCACACTTCCTCTGTGGTGCTGTGACCTAGGACAATGTAATGAAGAGTGAGTTAAACTAAGTTCTGTTTACCCTCATTCTTATGCTACAGATTTCCTTTGGGTGGAACTTATTCTCTGTACGGTGTTTGATGCATCCTTAGTATTTATAGTGAGCCGGGGCTTTAGCAGCTGAAAGGAGAGTGGGGGGTCACTGATGGACAGAGACTCCTATGACTACAGAAGCGCTCAAGAACCAGTATTGTTCTGTTGTGCAATTATCAGCCTATATGACCAGTATTCACATTGTAATGTAACTCACGAGTTTGATGTAAACTCTCGTTGGAAAGCCAAACTGGTGAATAAATGGGAAAAGCATTTAGCTCTAATTAAATGTTTTGTGCTTTAAAATAAAGACAACATGGTCAGTTTTTTACAGGATTTTACAGGTTGGTCCTCATCTCAGTCATTATGCAGTACTGGAGTCAGAAAGTAATGGCAACAGTCTGGGAAAGATTAAGGCTCAACCACCTGCAAGGTGCAGTATTGAGCTTCTGATCAAACTATACAGTAGGAGAGCCAAACTGAAAACAGACATTGAGCTCAACAATATACTGATGCAACCCAGGGGCTGCTGCAGCAATCATCTCATCATGATCTGTTTTTATAAGTGCTGAAGCTCACAATTCAAGTAGATTGTAAATTCACTTTCCTGTTCAATTCAATATCTAGCATTCAGTCAACTACTATGGTGACCCAGTGTTGAATATTAATTAAATACAATGATATTATGAATTATCACTGACGGACTAATTAGCCTACATCATGTCTCTGTTCACAATAATGGAGTTTATTGCAAGTCACTTTAATTCCAGTAGGGTATTTTTAAAAATAGCTCCAAAGTGCTTTTTTCTGCATGATGTAATGCCAAGTTTCTTCAGAAGTCTTTGTGTTTTAATCAAGACGAACAGGGCAGAGTCAGTTATTTGATTTGCTGTTGTTGAACTCTGAATACGTGGGCACCTAGTCACAACCACCATTTTAGACTTTGCTTACTTTTATTTATATTTTATTGTTATTTTATTTATTGAGCTACATCTCTATAGTTTATTTTAAAACTGTTGTCTTTTATTGAGAAGCACTCTCTGCTAATATGTGCAATAGGCTGAAATAAACTTTAAGACCCCTCTTGATTGACAGAGGTTTAAAGTAATTATGAGTGAAAATTGTAATAGGAAAATTTTGCATTGTGAAATTAAAACAGAGCTTCGAAACGATGCTTTATGGAATACAACAAGGATTAACCAGGCTACAAATTACTTGTTGGCTAATAAAACTCTTATTAGGGTATGAAAATAAGCAGAATGAGTTTGCGTGCTCGAGATTATCACTAACATATGAGGCTGGCTGTTATATTTTTCTCTCGGATGTGTTGATGTCATGTTTGAGTGTTACTAAGTTTGGCGACTGAATTGGTTATATGCATGTCTCCCCCTTGCTTGCTCCTGTTGTTTTGGGGGCTCCTTACACACCAGGTCTGTTGTTGAATAGAATAGTATACACTGTATTGGCTTTAGAGGGATAAACATAATTATATGCTTGTAATATTTGGCTTCAGGGAGAGCTCAGTATGGATTCTGTCACACTTTCCACACATTTCATATCCAGCTGAGCATTAGTTTGATAAATAATCTTGCTCAAAGTACTGTAGATGGTTTTTGTGATAGCTTGCTTGCTTTACTGTTCTTCATATCAATTTATATCAAACAGCTCCTGTTTCACTGTCATGACCTGTGCACTCGGCTACACTAATTGCTTACAAACTGATTGTCATTATAACTTTTCATGAGAAATGATCTGCTTTGAGGAGATTTGTGTGTTTAAAATGCTCAGTAACAGTTTGCTGCATAGACGGTGTGTCCTAGGTTTCTTGTGCAAATCATGTGACTGTTGTGTTTAGATTTGTCCATTAACCTCTAGAGTCCCTGCGTCCTCATATGAGGACCGCACAGCTTGGGTTTCCAAAGCTCAGGACTCTAGAGGTTAAAGTTTACCTACTAGATGCCGTGGCCTATACTCCTGATCTCTCAGTTGTGCTGAGCTTGGTGTGTGCAGTGGCATCTGTGGATAATTTGTATATTCATTAATTATATAAACTCCAAAAACTCTTTGGCAAACTCATACCTGAACTGTATCATACTTGAACTTGAACAGAACTAAAATTATACAGTAATATAACATCTTACCTATTTTTTGCAGACATTAGGTGTGGTCAAGCACTGCAGTGATACTCAGGCATTCACTTTAGCTGAAATAAATCAACTGTAATTTTATTATCTACTTCACATGGCTCTTAATGCAGTGTCAGTGCCACAGAAGATCCAACACGAGCAGAGAGTGTCTCAGAAAGACCAGGCCTAATGGACTTTTAATAGATAAATGTTGGCCGGATGTATCTCAGGCTCCTTAATAACAGCAGGATGTGAAAATCCAGACAGTGGTTTTTAAATGGTGATGGGTAGCAGAAAGTGGTTTCATCAGATAAGAAGAGCTTTGGTTACTGGCATAAAGGAAGGAAGAGGCCATGGAGTAAGCGGAGATGAGAAGGCATCATGAAGAAGACCTGGGCATGATTGAGAGCGCTAGATGTGAGCTGTGTAAAAGCAGAAGTCAGAGCTGATTAGAAAAGCTCAAAGGGACCTTGACAATGCGGTAATACACGTCTCGGTTGTCAGAGGATGCAAGTGAGCAGGTGTCCAAAATGCAGCAAGGTGCTGAGTTCTGACGCATTCTGTCGCTGTCTGTCTGTCACCTCAGTATTTTGCCACCACTGCTTTGCTTTAATGATGCTTCTGTGTTGGCCAGCTTAGGATGTCGCTCTTTCATTTCCAAAGATCACTTGCCTTGAGGCCGGATGAACCATGTTGTGGTGTATTGACTGACAAAAGGGAGTAAAATGTTATCAATCAAGTCAGAAACACTACCAAATACATCAAGAACACAGAGCTTTGTATTCCTGTGCAACCTTTTATCATTTGGTAAAGAAGTTAGATCTTTATTCATCTCTGCCCTGGATGCACATAGACACAACCATCTGACTACCTTGTAAGTATTAGGACAGTTGGAAAAGTAGAATGGGGGGAAATTCTAAATAAAAACCTGCAAGTCACATTTGTATAATGATTGGACCCAAATTCAAACAGGCAGGGAGTTTTTATAGTAGATATTTTTTATAAATTTAATACAGGCTTGTTACAGGGCAGAGAGGTGCAGAACATTGTAAAGACGTAAATATTCACCGGAGCATAAATGATCAAAGTCCATAAGCAAAATAGTCAAGCCAAAAGTGAATCGACAAAAACAAGAACATGATTAGCCTGACGAAATAGTAACCTTATCAAGTCTTGCATGAAAAAAAAAACAAGAAAAACTGCAGGCACGATGAAGGGAAACAAACAAAATGCAGTGTAACAAAAAAGCAATACGAAACTGGAGAAATGAATTCATTCAAAAAATATCAAACCGACCAGAAACAAAATAACTTTCTTCATATAATGTCCACTGCCTGCAAAATCCAGAGCCAATAACAGAAACAGAAATCCAAAAAAGATAAGGGTGAAACAGCACACTAGGTCTGACAAAAAACTAGCAACTAACTGAGGGAGATGAGTGATTATATAAGGCAAAACAGGGAGACAATGAGGAACAGGTGGGTGTAATTAAGGTCCGTCATGGAGATATAGGGAGGTGAAGCCAGGATGAGCCAGCAGAAATGTGATAACAAAATAAATGGAAAATAGACTGCACTTACATGGCACTTTTCTATCTTACCTGGACAAAGCGCTTTTACAGATTCACGCATTGATGGCGGCGGAGCTGCTGTGCAAGGACACCGGGTGCAACTTGGGGTTCAGTGTCTTGACTGGGGAGACCAGGAATCAAACTGCCAACCCTGTGATCAGTGGTTGACCTGCTCTACCCCTGAGCCACCTAATAAAAGACCAAACAGGAAATCTAACCCAGTTTTGGTCCCAGCTCCTTACAGTATTACTGGACTTAAATGGTATAGTCTGAACCTGGCACTTTGGCTTGGCTAGGAATTGCTTTATAGGCTTATTGAAATAAACGAGTTGACAAGAGGATTTAAACACACTGGAAAAGTTAAAACTTTATTTCTCCCTGTCGTGACAATACAAAATCAACAAGTGCAATAACAATCCATCTGAAAACGATACAGGACATTCTATCTAGTAGTAAATACATAGACAGAACGTGGTGCACATTATCGCCACTACCACACCCAGAAAGTGAGGTATCAACCACTACAAAGTTTCTGTGTACAAGTGGGTGTTCGACTGTAAGGCAACTGTTACCATGACAACCTGGAGAGAGTGAACAGATGTGTGCTCCCTTCCCTTCTTGCCTCCCTCTGTTCAGTTTTTTTTTTTTTTTATTATATTTGGGAAGAGGGTTGAGCTGATACACTTTACAGTACCACATCACATCAGGTCAGAGTCAAGACTGTTTTCAACAAAACAGAAGACATCACAAAACTAAGTTTTAACATTTTAAGAAATGAGGGAAGGATTGGTCATACAAACAGGTGACTTATTGTGTCTTAGTAAGGTGTTGGGCCGCACGGGCCGCCACAACACCTTCACTGTGCCTTGGCGTTAATTCTACAAGTCTTTGGAACTGGAGGGATGGTGTTTTGATGGAGCCAGCGGAGAACGCCGTCTAACACGTCAGCCCAATATCTCCATTAGGTATTCATTTGGGTTGGGATCTGGTGACTGTGAATGCCATAGCATATGATTCATATCATTTTCATACTCATCAGATCATTCAGTGACCCCTCATGCTCTATGGACACAATCCTGGAAGAGCCCATTCATTTATTCAGGTTTCTGCTTTCATTTGTCACCTGTCTGTATGTCACTTAAGGGAATCACTTTTGACCCTGCTACTGCTTGTTGAGACAAAATGAAGTTTTTTTCTATTCCCTGTGTGTGACTGTTACTTGATTAGTGATAAGAACAGACCTCTTATGCGGCCGAGAGCCCTGAAAAGCGGCATGTTCTCTAACATATTAGATTTTTCCCACTTATCCAGCAGAGGACTAATGAAATCCCTTTTGGTGCTTCTGCACCTGTTAAAAATGACTTTTCCCTGTTTGCTGCTGCTGGGAATAAGGAGGCAGCTAAGGAGAGACCGAAGGAGTGTCATTTTGAACAACTGCTCATCTCTGGGGCCAATTATTTCACTTGAACACATCCAGTTTTTCTGTCCCTAGAAGTGATGGCATGAGCCTGGTGGGGCACACATATAATTAAACTTTAGCTGGTAAAATGGGATTTAACTTGCTCTAACAACTCTGCAAATGTGAATATTATTACTGATAGCTGAGGCTGACACTGGCAGAGCCAGCGTACAGCACTTGACTATAGTTCTGTTATTCTGCTTAAACTTCATTACTGGGGAGGGTGAATACATTGGCAAAAGCCAAGTCTCATGGCTTGTTTCTTCTGCTTGTGCATGTTTTTTTCAGTGAGGACACTGCAATGTGTGCATTGACCAAAAATTCTGTGCATGTAAAGGTGCAACAGCTGCCAGGTTAACAGCTGGACATGACTGGGACAGACCACCTGGTTTTCACACTGTGTTTGTGGCATAAGCAGCTGCTTTGCTTGCTCCTGTCAGACAGAAAGAGCAGCATTTGATTGACAACACAGAATTCCTCTCAGCAGATATTTCGGGTTAGAGCAGGAAGTGAAGCATTTTCTTTAATAAGTGCTCAATTTAAGCTACAGTATTTATTTTTCAAGCAAAAATGCCAAACAGTTCTCTTGTTCCAGCCTCTCAAGTGAAGATTTGCTGCTTTTCTTTATCCAATGTGATCGTTAATTAAATATCTTTGGATTTTGAACCGTTAGATGGAGAAGAAAAATAATCTGCATATATTACCAATTTTCATATTTCAAAAAACAAATGATAACTGAATAAATAATTGCCAGACTAATCAGTAATGAAATCAGTTTTTATCTGTGGCCCTAGAGGCTTGTATTTTGATAACTGACATCATCTTTTGTAATTTATCATTTGCTGGTTCCAAATATGAGGATTTTGTTTTTGTCAGTGAACTGAAATGTTGGTTTCATAACAAAAACAATTTGAATACCTGACCTTGGTCTGTCTATCTATCATAATGGTCAGTTGTTAATCTTTTCTGACACTTTATAGACCAAATTATTACTTTATTAATCAAGAAAAAGTACTTAGCTGAAACCCTAATGAAACTATTTAATTATTTTCACTTTTCTTCTTACAAAGCAGACAGAGAAATGGTTGGAGACCTATATCGCTACAAGTTCATTATCCTGGCTCTGTGTGCCCATTTCACCGACTTCACCTTCTCATTAAATGTAAATCAAGCGGAAACCTCAGCGATACACCCCAGTGATTACCTGGCGCTCATTTGGCTGCCCCTTCTGACTTTTACATAGCATGTCATGCTTTTGATTAAGCTACTGCACGTTATTGCTGACAGTGAAGGGGCGATTAATGATAGTTTTTTTTTTCTTCAACCTTTATTATGGCTAAACACTTAAAATTGTCTATTACCAATGTGGGATGTAGAGTGCTCCTTATAAAGGAACCTAAATGGATATTCATTTGCATCATATTGCTAATGGATTTGATTTTCAGGCAGCTCCGGTAATGAGGGCAAACAAGTCATTGGATGAGGTCACTGAGGAAACTGTCGCACACTTACTTCATACATAACGGTCTCAAATGGGCTTATAGGTTCATAGCTAAGGTTATGTTTAACTCAGCATAAGGCTCTGCTTTGAAAGCATCCCTGATTCTCATTAATGTTTTGGGTGACATAACTTATTAAGAGTCGATATAATTTTCTTCACCGTCACTAAACCAGAGAGAAATCTCAGTGATCTAATGTAAAACCTTTAGATATACAGCAATTAAACTGTGTGTTAGTGTGTCCCTGTCAGACACATTACAATAATTTTCTTGTTTTTCATAAAGAAGACGTAAAACATTTCATACAAGATATTGTTTTTCAACATGGCTGCAGAGACATTTTGTTCTAGTTTCAGTAACAAAAACATTCTACTCTAAGTGAGATGCTCAGCATCAACCTAAGCTGTCACATGTTCTGAATGTTAACCATATATTTCTCTGACTAGTTCACATAAAGAAATCACCAAATAGATAACCCACAACTGTGTCTAACTGCTACTGAACACAAACTGACACAGCAGTGTAATAAACACTTTATATCTAGAAAGATGAGCTTTTAAAATAAAAAAGGGCAAGCCTCCTTGCCTGTGAGTACAGTTAACAGAGTTCAGCTCAGATTTGTTTGGGATACTCCAGGCCTTGGCAGCCATTTCAGGGGCTCTCTGAACACTTGTGAGCTGTTCAATATGTCTTCCGCTCCTCTGCTGTGGTGGCAGCAGCAGCATGGTCCTTTGTTCAGCTGATTTTCCAAATGGGTGTGTTGTGCTCATCGGAAAGGGGCAGTAGTCACTTCTAACTACTACGGTATGGCTAGCCCAGCAGTGGTGTTTGTGTTGGTGAGTCAGAGATTGGCATCTGTGGAGCAGATCTCCTCTGTACCATGTAAGGGAACAAGGTGTTGCTACTCTTCATTGTGTCCACTCACAGCATCATTCTGCCCCAAAAGAGAGAGACAAGAAAGCAAGCATCACTGTTCCTGCCTGACCTTGCAAATAGTAGCTTGACAATTGGTTCTTTTTTTATTTATATATAGAAAAACTATTGATTTTCAGAAGTGTAATCTTCATCACTGGATAGGAAGGTACAGTTATTTTCCAAAAAATGTTTGGAAGAAATATGTATGCCTTTAGTAGCAACAGTGGAGAAATTAGAGTAACTGAGGCAGAGAGCGATGCAACAAAAATGTGCCTGGTCCGATGGGAACCAGGAACATTAGGGCTCATGGTCCCAGGTCATATGTGGGGGTGGAGATCTTAAATCTGTCTCTGTTCAAGGGTGGCCACAGGCATCAAATATCTATGACCAGTTTTGGCCCTGAACACCTGAAACAGACAGCTTCAGGGGCTAAATGAGATGACAATGCATATAGACAAAACGTTGTATTCTAGTACTTATTAAAAACAAATTTGCACTTCATAATGTGGACACCTTGTTCAGACCTAAGTCCATGTGTGGGTGGATAAGGAGGAGATAAAAAAAAATATGAAGACCAAACATAATTATGTCTACATCCATTTATGGCTAACTATCAGTGAAGTCTTTTTTTCTGCATACACAGAATTTTAGCCATGAATTCACATAGTTTTTTGCTTGTGGCCTCAGTTGTTTGTGATCAATACAGGTCCTATCATGGACTGGGAAGTGGTCAAAGTCTGAGCGTCAGTGGACAACTAAAGGGAAAAAAAGGAGGCCAATAACACCCAACATCAGAGACAGGGGTTATGATCTCAATGCATATACAACCTCCTGAATCAGTTAGGTGAGCTTTCAAGCACAAAGCCCCCAGATGTGATGGCTCTAGCATCCCCCATCTTCACCATTATGGTAAAGTGAATATCTTTTAGTTTTTGACTGTTGGACAAACAAAAAAGCAGTTTAAAGATGTTACTTTACACCTACTCCATCCACTGTTGAAGGCTATAAAATGTGACTGAAGGCTTTGAAAACCAACCAAGTGAAGAAGAAACACTTTAAGATCACATACAGTAAATACAAGTTGTTTGGGAAAAATCTTCTGCAACCTATTGAACAACAAACATGGCTTTTAGCTGCAAGGCTGAAATTGTGTTAGATCACAGTGTTTGTGCTTCATGGTTCACATTGATCTTTATTTAACAACAAATTGGCTTCAAAATTGGTTTAAGGCCTGAAAACACAAAACTAATAAAATGGTGCAGCTTTGTTTTTTTTGTTTTTTAAAGAAAGTCTGTAATTCTTGTAAAGACTCTAAGCGTACCTCACCTCATGAATCACTTCCACAACCATTTCTGCCGTGCAAAACAATTTATCTACATTGTTAATGGGAAAATGAACATTTCTGCCTCCTCACCACATTCATTTTCTTAGAATTCTTGTAAGGACAGAAATATGTTTTGATCAGTGAGGTGATGCTTGTGCTCATTATCATGGGATGCTTTTAGGACTTCAAGGATATTCTATAAGCAAATCTGTGACAACAGATCTAATAAAAGATCACAAACACAACCCAAAAATAAAAATACATTTTTTCAGCAAGCCCTATTGCTCCCAGCGATGCCAAAAGTCACTGTTCAACTTGCAGAGAGCAAAAACCTTTTCTGCTGCTCTTTCCC